GTCACAACATGATGCACAAAGTCACATCCAGCAACGCACATGGTGTTATGTGGTCAGAAACTATCCTGAATGTCTAATGGCAACAGTTGGCCATGCATCCAACAAATATGCTTCGTTCTCATACCTAAACCAGTAGTGCTCAAAAGAAAAAGGAAACAACGTGCAGCACATGGCATACTCTCTCTTGCAAACCAATCATTCCAAACTACAGAAATCAACAACATCAAACAACTCTAGATGGTACCCCAACGAAAGGTCAGGAGCAATCGGCATTGTACATCTCGATGGGCTCTTGTTTAGGTGTTGAACCCTACTCTAGTGTGCTGTGTGCACCCAAATCGTAGCCACCTATGGCCCATGAACTGTTGACCATCCCACGGATACGATTCCTCCCTTTTCCGTCGACGCCCAATGGTTGCTGAATATTCACCAAACATCCTGCCTTCCAATTCTTTTTCGATGGAAAGTCGGTCCCATTCAGGGGACAGGATTACGGTCATGGTCATGGTGAATATCGTCTCCTGGATTCGGTGGCAATCATATTTTGTGCTGAGGTTTTGTTGCATATACTCTGATGAACAAGACGAAACAACACAGGCACTATCAAAAGCCCATTCCCTGCGCTCGTTGTGCAAACTGATCCCAAACTGACTCCTTAGTCAGCCAGCATTTGTGCTGAAGTGCACATAAGATATCCTGCAGTGCCCCATTGTGCAGGGTGTGCACATTGCTCTACTGTGCCATGCATTCATCACGAGCAAAACATTGCCCTGCTGGTGCAGCACGCAACCAGCAGCACCTTCAGGGCATTACATCCATATGCATTTTCTTTTGAGGTCTTCTCTTCTCTGTTGGGACAAGGGGTGGCACCTGGACTCTTGAAGGTAATGTGCTGTCTGGCAAACATGAACAGAAAACAGTGGCACTGCTATGTTCTTGACGCATACTGCCATTTCCTGTAGGGCCAAGTTGCAAGACCAGACGGTCTTCGAGTGAAGCACAGCTCCATTCAAACACATGTCAAATACCATCAAAACTACTGCGGCTGATACCGTGAGGGCAACAGACCTCAAAAGAGAAGCCTGTCACCCCTTGTAGCAATGAATGCATACAATGGGCAATGTCACACAATGCAGTTGCCACACAATGGCAATCGATGGGAAATTGTGCCCAGCTGCCAACACAAAGAGTCGCTCCAATGCAATGCACATGTGTAACCACAATGCCACAAAGCTGCTCACCTTGGATTGGCTTTGCTCCCTGCACTGCCAGCGTGAATGAGATGCCTGTCCCACGGTTTGCTGTTCCTGCTGTGGCCTGTGGCTTGGACGGCACCAGTGACGCAACAGGGACAGCAGGCACAGGTGGTTTGTTGAGATCCACGCTCTCTGCAGCTCCGTCCTCCCTGAACACGATCTTGGGGATAGATTTCGGCTTGACAATCTGGAACTCTGGGTTTTTTGGTTTGGGTTTTGCCTTTGGCAAGGGGAAGAAACTGTTCTTCTTGATCATCAATGTCTTCTCCTCCTTGGACTTGATATCATCGTTTCCCTCCTCATCCTTGGCACCCTCCATTTCAACGTCGCATTCATTGTCCCCAACCTTCTGCATCTCGTCAAGGCAGATGGATAGATAGTTGGCAGGAGGCTCGTATGAGGGGTCCTCCTTCATCAGCCATTCGATCAACTCCCTGCGAGCAGATGAAACAGCTGCTTTTGCCTCCTTCTGAAGGGTACCTGGCGACAGGGAGAGTTCTAGCTTTGAGTCACGTTGGCAATTCGTCTCTTGCGAATTCTCTTTGATTTCCTGCTTCCCAGACTGGTCTTCCAAAGGACTTTCTTGCTGCTTGTCATCTTTAGGAACGTTCTCCGAGTCCTCATCTGCACCATCCATCGGCTTAGCGTCTTTTGCGGCTTCTGGATCGCCTGAATCCTTGGCTTCTGCTGGGTCCTTGTTTTCATTCTGATCAGCATCAGCCACCTCCTTGGCCGTCTCTGCGATTTTGGGTGACACACCGATCGAAAATTTCTCCTGGAACCAAGCAACATATGTCTGCTTGGCAATCACATCCTCCAGCAAGGACAGCTCCTGCTTCTTCTTCTCCAGCTCAGATTCCTCTGCAGTGCTGCCCCTCTTGGCCCTCTTGTCAGGCTCCTTGTGCACATCTTTCTCAGCTCTGCCAACCCTGTCCTCGTCATTCTGTCGCCGCCTCTTTTCCCTCCTTTCCTCATTGGCATGCAGGGCCTTCTCCGCCCTCCTTGGTTCCCTCCTCTTCTCCTCCCTCCCGTTCCTGCGTCTCTCATCCTTCCGCCTTTCATCCCTGTGCTCATGCCTCCGGCCCTCCTTTTCACCCTCCTTCTCCTCCCTCCCCCTGTCCTGCCGCGACTCATGCCGGCCCCCGCGCGTTGCCTTCTCCCTCTCCCTGGCCTTGTCCTTTTCCCTCCCGTCACCTGCCCTGGTCTCATGCCCCTCCCTCCTCCCCTCCCTCCTCTTCTCCTCTTTCCCGCCCCTTCTCTTCTCCTCCCTCTCCCCCGCCCTCCTGCCGTCCTCTGCCTTCTTTTCCCTCTCCTTGGCCCCCACCTCCCTCACATTCCTCCTCGACTTCTCCTCCCTCCTCCCGCTCTCCTGTTTCCCCCTGCCCTTCTCCCCCCGTCCCCCATTCTCCCCCTCCCTCCTCCCCTTCTCCTCCTCCCCCCTCCTGCCCCTGCGCCTCTCCTCCCCGTCCCTCTTCTCCCCCCCCTTTCCGTCTCTCCTCTTCCCCTTCTCCTCATGGCGCGCCGACTTTTCCCGTTCCTCCTCCTCCTCCTCCTCCTCCCCCTCCCCTTCCCCCGCCTCCTCGTCCCTCCTGGCCGCCTTAGCGGCCCGGGACGCCTGGGACGCCGCCAGGCCGGCCCCGAACTCCGAGTCAAACCAGTCGTTCACAGTCACAGGTTCAACATCCTTGCGCTTCTGCCTCAGCTCCTCCCTCAGCTCCTTGAGCCGCTCCTTGCGCTCCTTCTCCTGCTCCTTGAGCGCGCGCAGCTCCTCCGGCAGCTGCAGGTTGGGGATGAACATGCTGAAGACGCCGGAGGGCACGGGCGCCGCGGCGCCGGCGGTCTTGGCCAGCTGCTGAACCAGGGACAGGCTGTCCTGGCTCAGCGAATCGGCGGGCCGCTTCCTGGCGTCGTCGGCGTCCAAGGGCTTCGCGGGCTCGGAGAACCGGCTCTCCCGGCGGGCGGACCGGCCCATCGCGATCCTGCGGCGTGATCTGCGGCAAGCGGGCAGCGCTCAGCACCCGGGCCTCGATCCACACAACCGTCAAGCGCGGGCCGGAAGAGCAAACAAGCAGGATCGAAAGCACGAGGAGTTTTCGCGCCGTGGGTTGGGGTGGCAAGGAAGGCGGCCCCGCGCGGCGCCCAGGCTGCGCCGAAAAGCGTGCGGCTGGAACGGCGGGGGGGTGCCTGGATGCGACCGCGATGACCCACCCGCGCCGCCGGTCGCCGTCGCTGGGTGCCGAAGGGGGCGCGTCGCGGGGCGGCCGCCCGTCTTGCCGGCGCCCTGGGCTGCGATGCCTCCGGCGGAAGCCGGTTGCGCCAGGCGTGGTGTGCTGATGGACGAGAAATGGACCCGTCGAGCTGGGCTCCTCGATTTGTTCCTCAGTGTTTTCCGCTTTCCTGCAGGTATTTTCATTATTTAAGTGGTATTTTCTTCATTTAATTTCTGGTGCTTCTTTCCTGAAGCGACGTCAAAACGGCATTCAAGGAGCCGCTGAAGAGTGAGAATACGCGCGAAGACCACGAATCCCGATGTTGCCCCCCCCCCAGGAATCGTGCATGGTACCTCGTGTTCTTGCCATTGGCCAGATGGACATGTGCGCCGCGCAAAAATGCGGCATTGACCTCTTGTGGGTTGGGCATCGGTGGGGCTAACGCCAGAGCTGGATTGTTGGACATTGCCGACGGCGAGTTGCGGACTTCTTGCCTGTCGCGGCCACGGGATTTCCCGCGGGGGCTTCTTTTCTACGGATATCTCTTTTTTCCTTTTCTTTCCTTCAGATCGAGCAGATTGTTTCACAGAGGTGGAGGAACGAGGGGGAATTGATGGGTGCGGCTCTGCCTTGTAGAATTTGATGAAACCTTGCCAGGCGTGTCCAAGCTCACGGTGCGAAGGAAGGTGGGAATGTGAGGGCTGACATCCAGCTGAAGATGGAGGATGGATGGGATCGAGACATGGTTGCGGGCGGGCCGCCGCTGCCGATCGGCGATCGTCGCGGCGAGTGTGGTTGCCTTGTTGGATGGCACACGCGTTACTCCAGAAAACGATGCCATTAGATTGTGTACCAATTGTCAGGTGTTGCACCGATCCACTGTGGACCAATTGCCCTTCCTGATACAGTGCAGTTGCGCCGCTGCGCTGGGTCGTTCTCTCTGGACAGGCGCAGCGTCCGCCATGCATCAGTGACTTTGGAACTGCTAGGTGCAGGGGGGACTGGGTCCAGGGCATCGTATTTTGTACGTCACGGTTAGCCTGTCCTGGTTTCAGCACCTCAACAACGGCACCCAGCAGTGACGTGATGTATTCAGAGACTCCGTCATTGATTGTCATCAGACTTGCTCAGCACAATCCGAGGGCATTTCATAAGAAATTCTCCTTTTTTGGGATTCCAAAATATTGCTTTACATTGAATTTTTCGCTGCAGTATAGAAAGGGAACTTAAATTCGAATCTGAATCGATCTGCAGCCTGTACACAAACGCGAACATATGTGTGGCAATAAATTCGAATCGCTGTGCCAAATTGCTACTCCTCGGAACGCGTGCACACTTTGCGGGCGCGTGCCAGCACCGGTTGAATGCGAACACAAGTGATGTTCTTGTCCATGCACACAAACATACTCAGATGCCGCCACATACAATGCAGGCTTTCAGACGCGGCCTTGTGGATGCCAATGCTTCGAGTATCATTTCGGCACCAGAGATATGCCTTTCCTCTTGGGTGCGGTGTACAGGGTAGAGATTGCTTTCACCTTCCGCGTTGCTCCGTTCGATGGCTCTTTGTGTCTACTCGCCTGCGCGCAACCAAAAATAGGGACCGCCGTGAGAATAACAGCGGATAGTGCAACGTGCATGCTTGGCCCCACGTGCCCTCTATGAGTGGAACGCATCAATGATGCAGGGACAAAGAAGCACGTGAGATGATGCCGCCCTTCATCAACTGACGCATGTGGGAGCAACGTCGTGTCCAACGATGTGATGCTGCACCAAGCACATTTCTTTGTGAGCATGCGATGCGTAATCACAGAAATAACCCCTCTGATACAATGTGCACTAGCATTACGTCTCAGCACTTCGCCCTTGCGCCCATCATAACCTTCGTGGCTGTGTTTCAGCAAATTAACCCTGTGGCGCACCTGTGTGGCGCTACTCCTTTGTTCTTATGCGTATTCTTTGTAAATCCTCTCTGGCCGTCCGCTGCCTTTGCCGCCCTTGCATGCTTGGAAGTGCCCATTTTCTTCTTTGCCACCTTGTATGGATGCTCGCCTGCTCCGGGCCCAGGCTGTCCTCCCTCCCTTCCGCGTTTCTCACCGGGACGCATCCCTCTACGCATTTGTTTGCTTTGGTGCTTGGAGTTTCGCTGCAGCAGCGACGGCTTGATCGGCGCGTCTCCCCCACCTGCCCATTACCAAAACAATCGATTCAGTGAACTTGAGGAGCGGGCGTTCTGAAGCAGCGTGAAAAGGGATTCTGAAAGTCGCCATCTAGCACATGTGCGCCACAGACGATGGGTTTGGCTGCATATAACCAGCACTGGCAGTGGTGCAGGGACTGATCTGATCGAAGAAGGGAGAGGCCCAAATCTTCTGGTCGCAAACGCAGTGTAATTCTGCCAATCCAGCAAAAGCTGCATAGGCTTTCTGCGACATGAGACGTGCTTTGTTCTGTGTCGCAGATGTGCGCAAGCACAGAGCGTGTGGCAATGGAATGCAGATGACGTGCCAGCCCCTCATGCAACACTGCGGAGTGCAACCAGACAAACGGTGTTCCGAGTTGGCAAATGGAGTTTCCTGCTACTGCTGTACCCCAGCTGTCAGTGCTGGTGATATTGGTGCATCAACGCAATTTCCATCAACTGTTCCAGGGCATCAACACAGAAGAATGATCGGTTGCAAAATATGGCGGGCATCCAACGACCCTAAACGATTCGAAACAGGGGCCCACGGCGACAGCGTGAAACACACAGCACCCACCTCTCCCTCGTTTTCTTGAACTCTTGGCAGTCAAGTCTCCCAAAGACTCATGATTCGAGCCATGCCGATTGTCAATTTTTCCGGCAGCTTCGACAATGTCAGCAACCTCATCAGCGAAATTGTCGAATACTCTTCCAGAAAGCCCCGCCCCGTGGTGTGCCTGAAATTGCCAAGGGCAGCATTTAGATTTCCATTTGGATGCACACTTGCATGCAAAGACACAAAAATGAGTGGCTGCTCGGTCCTGTTCCTCCAGTTATGAAGACCAGCAACCTTGCAACCACATTAACGAATCGCCAAGGATTTTTGTGCCTCGGAGCCATCATGGTACACCTTGAAAACAATTCTTCTGGTAGACAACCCACAGTAAGCCATGGTTAGGAGAGCAGATGTGGCCAGCTGTTCTTTCAAGCTCAATGCCTGTGTTGTGCTCTGGTCAGCACATTGAGTTGCCAAACCGCTGCTGGACACCATCCCCTCCAGTCGGAATTCAACAAACATATATGTGCTGAAGCTCAATGACTACATGACTTCATTTCGCAGGCACCATGTGGAGGCCACCTATGGACAAGAGTCTTCGCCACAATACCAAGCAACAGCTACTCAGGAAAAGGGACAGTCGATTGGAGAAGTTGAACACAAGTGGGACCACGCACTGTGGCAGGTTGGCTGCTGCTGCAGCATTCGCATGCTTCGTCACACCTTGAAACGCCGTTTCTCTACTCTTGTGACAGGCATCCTCATCATCATTTCCTCTTCCACAGACTGCTTTTCCTTCATCTTCCGCAATGTCCTGATGGCACCCTCAGTTTCCATCCCTGCCGGTGTTGCCGTCAGCTCCTCAGGGGCTCCCGTCAACTCGGCGGCCATCTCCTGAACCTATCAAACAAAGGGTGAAATTACTGGCAGTGCATTTGCTACCATTTTGCATTCCACCTCGCACCTAGCATTAATAACAGGCACGATTGAACCAGGCCGTTCCCAAAGTATGCATAACCATTGCAGGTTTCCCATCCAACTTGCATGTAGCTCAGAAAGGCTATCAGTTGGTGGGTTCCATCAAATAGATTATGGTGTACTGATGGTCATGTGTATCGCAGGAAATGGCAATTCAGGCCTGGCTTTGATCCACAAGCTGCAATGACACATGGGCAGATTGTCATGTATCGCTTGTCAGTTGTCCAACTCACGAGCCACGTGTAAACGAACCAGTTGCTATCGTGCGGTTCATGCATAGGTTGGCAACCAGGTGGTTGCAGTCTTGTCAAAACGTGCCACTTGATGCATCCTTTTGCAAAATGCCTGCAAATGTACACAGCTGTTGATGACGAACTTTTACACGAAGCAACCCTAAGAACACAGCCCCAGGGATCCACAGTTCCACTAACGGAAATGGCAACTCTTTCAGCACAACTGCTGAACATGAAATCAAGTTTTACATCATGTTGAACGCACAAGGGCAGAGCCTTGTCGAAAACTGGGGATGGCGACGATGAACTACAAGGATTCGATACTCACGATAGCGCTTCCAGCTGCACGCAATCTTGCATTCTTCAGCTTCTGTGCCTCCGTTTTCCTTTCATCGAGCCCATCCATTACTGTGGGATTCAGCCTTGGGGCACGGTAGATTTTGTCACCATCTCCATTTGCAACACCAATGGTTTTGGGGATGAGCATGTCTGGTCTGGGACCATACTGCAGGGGGTCCGCAGCATCTAGCAGCACAAGCAACCCTGGTAAGTGCATGATATGACGACATGTTTTGCAATTCAAAATGGTCACTGTCACACAATGCCACTCGGCCACCACTGGTTATTGTTCGCTTTGAGCTGCAACAGTAGATGTGCCAGCTGCTTGCACATGCTGTACCAGCATTGTCCCTAACAAGGGCTGTTCTGTGACCAATGCCTGTTTCAGCTTGCAGCAACTCACAATAGCACCGTTGTTGAAAAGGGCATGAATGTATTGAAATGCATGGTTCACAACGGCTCAACCAGGTGGTAAGCAAGCACTGCATAATCTGCAGACAAGCAACAAATTTGACAGCAGATGCAGACCAAGATCCCCACATACAGCAACCCAAGAAAGCACACTGGACCGTGAAAATAAAATCCACCACACTCCGCAAGAATGTGCTCGCCATCGTGCTGCTGCTATGTAAAAGATGCAGGGCAGGCAAATTAGCAGAGAGTACACACCAATTGCACCCCCTGTGACCTCCTGCCCGGCATCCTCAGCTGTCTTGGCCGCCTTGGCAGCTCTTAAGAGCTTGTCAATCTGGTATTGCAAACGTTTGTCCAGTGGTCGTATCTTTTCCTGCACACACATCCACAAACCGCGCATCCATCATTTCCTTGACTCACCAATTATGGAGTAGGCGTCAGGGATGCCATAGGACACTGGTCACACAATGACACGAGCAAGCAGGGGAATGGAACTTATGCTGGACAAGGACAGAAACGTTCAAACGATGGCTTGAAACTGTGTCAAATATGCGAGACTGTGCAACAAACGGGCAGCACGGCATTGCAACCAGTCTGGTGCCACTGTGCCTGATCGCATTTCGCGGCTGAAAACATACTGTTTGGTAGAAATTTCCCAATGCATTCTACTGAGTCCAAGTGCATTTTAAGTTGGTTGGCAGCATTGTCTCCTAATGGACATGCGGCAGCCATATACTGCCCTACAATGCCCAGGAATGCGTTTCATGGATCAGACCAGGATAAGCAGTGGTATCAATGGATATCTGGACATATTTCATTTGCACAGGTCCAGTGTGTCAACAAGCTCACACACAGTACATCGGCCCCTGCAATGGCCAAAACAACACCCTTAGTGCTAGCAACACACATAATCGCCTCCATTGCAACTTGGGAGTCAAGAACAATCAAACGCCATGGACAACCCGTCCTGCCTGAACCTTTCAAGTGCATGAACAGACTCAGTTCCTCACCAAATACGCTCGAATCTCAACCAGCCTCAAAATGACAGGATGGTCCTTCACAGACTTGCCCTCGAGCTTCATCAGCAAGAAGAACAATAGGCACATGCAATAATGTAACAACAGCATGTGCTTGACTTCCAGATAGCTCAACCCCTCGTGCTCACAGAGGCCTCCAGCTCTGACCTACGTGTGCATAACACCTGCGAGTGTTGGCAGGCACTTTCCTGTTGCTGATGTCTGCATTCAATGGAGCAACACCACTACATAGTGCCGTGCACGGATAGAGCACGTTGACTGCCCAAGCATCGGCGATGTCCAACTGGTTACGCCCCTCCAGAACACAGCATGAACTCTCCATCAAGGAAACCAACAGTTCCAAGTTATGGTTACTTTCAAGGTCAATTTTAGTGGGAAGGAATATCAGCCCAGGTGCACCAGGCTGCTATTTCGTCCACGCACTCAACGACAAGTGCACTCCCACATCATCTTTATGCTGTCGTATAATGATGTACTCGAAGTATTTCCGACGCTTCGTTGAATTGGAGCAAGTCAATGATCCTTGCCTATGACACCTCCTGCACCCGACTCTCAGCATCCAGCATGCTTTCAGAAGTATTTAGTACATCCCAGTGTTCGTAATCAAATAGGTACAGAAACCTTATGCAGGTGCCAGGGCAGCAAGCCACATCCTAGAAATGCCCTCAAGATACTGAATTTTCAGGACCTTCCACCAAAAAGGAGACTTGGGACTGTGCAGCCGCGGCACTGCGCAACATGAAACCCCCAGGTACCATGACAGATCTCGATTTTCAAAGTTCAGGTCCAAAAGATTAGTGCTAACATGCAGGGCTGCAAATCGTTCCACTCTAGAAAGGGTGCATTTGCAGCACTCACCTCTTTCAGCAGTGGTGCAACCCTCTTCCTGACCTCACCCAAGCTATCTCTCAACTCAGCACACATTGCAGCAACTTCAGGGGCGTCCTCCATCGATGTGGCAGCTGCCTGGTCCTCACTTTCAAGAGTGGAGGCGTCAGCAGTCAAGGCTGCAGCATGTCTGTAGCTGTTCTGCATAAACATATTCCTGGGGAGAATGTCATATCTGTCTTTTCTGTGTTTTCCCTATTGGCGTGGCATGGGGACGGAAAATTCAGCACCATCGTTGCTTGAGTTCCAGCACAAAATTCGACATCTAAAGAAATAGTATGAGTTCTGACAAGGTGACCAGTTGCTGTGTTGAGGTACAGGGCACCCTGACCCTGCAGGTGGTCAAGAAAGTGACCATGGACAGTAAGACACTGCTGCAAGCTTCAGGGAGATAAATGTCTGTAATGCTGGAGCCCAATCTACACACTGCCAAAGTTGGCATGCCTTGAACAAGCATGAAGGAACATCTGAAGCAGAATTGGCCAATCCACAGTGGCGTGGGGAGCTATGCGCTTCAGGACTAAAAAACAGCATTTGGCTGCTGATGAGCACAGTCTTCTTCATGGATTCCCTCGACTATATTGTGGCCGTGCCAGGCAATCGGCACCGCGGACAGCCATTGTACACTGGCAGTACCGCCCAGGGCTCCCTTTGGTGTCCTTCATTTCTTGTATCTGAATCGATCATCAGGCCACAGACTTGTTTTGGCAGTCTGCTCGGCCTGCGGCACTGCTGTCTGTGCTTTCTATATGTTTCTGCCCCTTGGGTCAGTGGGTTCATCTAAATAGCGACAACAGACACAAGATCAAGGAGAACATTTACGCCAGGATGCAGCAGGAAAGACATAAAGTACCAGACTAAGCACACAATAAGGACCCCGAATTCCGTTCTTTTGTTTCCATTGCCGCTTTGTGTTGGCCACGGCAAAACATTCAAAACGAAAATTCTGCAGTGCCTGGCAGCCAAATTCTCCATTCCATGCCATAGTGCCATGGACGGCGACTGACCTCAAAGTCTGCATCGCCTCCATCAAGGCTATCGATTCCACCCCGTGGACTGGGCTGATCGCCCTCGTCGCCGCCGCTCTGTTCCCTGCTGCTCTCGCCGCTTTCGAGCACCTCGTGACTGCCCAGCTCCGTTCCAGTGGTCCGCTTCCTCACCACTGCGGATTCGAGTCCCAAAGGAACGCGAACGAATAAACCACCAGGTAGCAACGCTTCCGGTGCAAGCAATTGGTGCCGACTTCACTATTCCGCGCCCAACGCGACTTTCAACTCACTCTCGGCAGCCTTGTCCCCTCGCCGCATTGCCGACACGACCAGCTCATCCTCGGAAGCACCCCCTGATTCCGACCGGCCGTCATCCACACCGCTGTCGCCTTCAGATTCAGAACCAGCTGCCGGTCCAGAATCGTCGGAGATGTCGAGGACGGGCACATCATCCCCATCGTTGGCCCTGCCGAGGTTGTCCGCCATTCGCAGTTCGCCGATGGCTTCTAACGTCGCGCGCCTGCTCGACTTAGCCAACGCGGCGTGCCTGGTGCCCATCGGGTAGTCCGTGGGAGCGAAGCCGCGGCCTTTCAAATGGTGGCCCAAGCAGCAGCGTGGGGGCGGGCACGCCGCCGATATCAAAAACTTTTAGGGGCTGTCCTGAGGACCACCACTGAAGTGGCGCGCAGCAGCACGAGTACTTTGAAACGCAACAAACAGAAAACAAAACAATACCCGCACCAATACATGAGAAAACAATTCCCCTGCACTGCAGACGTATTGCCGAAAACAGAACTCAGCCAGGCGCTGCAGGGTGGTATCCAACGGCATGGTACGTGGGGTGGCGGCCGTTCGCCCATCAAGGTGCGAAGGATGTGGGGCGCATAGGGAGATGCCGACGCTGAGTCTTCGGCGGAGCGTCGAGGTGGAACTGATGCAATCCGTTCCTGGAGGATTCCCAGGAGGGCCAATCAATTCTCGATGTGATGGCGTCGTCTTCTACCTGATTGGCGGAGACTTCGCACGTCTGAGAGCCCCGCCAGACACCCCTCTCGCATTTGGCTACGTGTGACAGGTGCCCTGTTTCTGCATAGCTTGGCCGCGAAGTATGGAGGGGTGCAAATCGGACGAGGCAAACTATGAACACGCAGAGCCACAGGTCTGAGAAGGGCGCTGACTCTGCTTCCGCAGCCGACTCGTGAACCACGAGTCTCTGGACGTGCTGCTGCAAGAGGAGAATGTGGGGTTCACCCTGCTGCTGAAGAAGGGTGATCTTGATTGCCTTTGCCCAAAGCCGATAAAGCAGACCCAGCACCGAGACAGCGATTAAAGAGAAGACAGAGTGGAGGTGTGCCAATTCTAGAGTGATGAACAAGAAATCGCACGAAATGGGCAGTGGAAATATTTACCGTTAGCAGTTTAGCAATGGACTGGTTTGTTCAGGAGCACACTTGCTGAACTCCCTGTTTACGCCATGGGATCATTGCGTCACTAGCACAGCTGCCACTCACATAACCTGAAGTGCCCTTTCTGGCTGATTTTCCACGACCTTTCAACACTGCTGAGGCTCAATGTACTTGGTGGTCGAGTGTTAGGCCGCAGTGTTATGTACGTTAGGTGGATGCTTGCCAACCCTAAAAAAAGGCACACCACTGTGAAGCCAATTCCTTGACTTGCCACCACATTGCTGTACATGCTGCACAGCATCTCTCTGTTGGTAGGGTCACCAGCACTTTAAGTTTCAGCGCCTGGTTCGTGCTGCAGAAGCAATGACAGTGGGTATAGCCCTGAACAGCATGCCCTGCATCCAAAATGGTAACCGCACAGCTTCGCATGCACATATTCACTGCCACCTCTCTGTTGATTCCGTTGGTTGCAGTGCCAGTGGTGTGGAACCAGCGTGTTGCCGATGTGATCCACAACTGTCGAGCCGATAGACTTCCTTCTAAGAGTGCTGGGTGCTGGTATGAGGCATGGAATCCCCTTCTTGCTGAAGGTCACACCAGTGCTTTGGAAGGGTACCTTTCCAGGCCATTGGCCCCTCTGCATCCCTCACTACATTCCTGCTCTCACACCAATTCCACGGACCTGCCTGTGTGTTCATCCGCAGGCGTGCAAGCAAACTTGTAGCAAACCTTTGCTAGGGTAGCTGAGCGACCCTTCACCACTGTGCTTTCTTTGTCGCATATACCATCAACAGACAAAGCCTTGAACCGCAACGAAGCACCACATCACCTCCCATGATGCGTATGTCCGGCTGCCTGCTGACCAACGGCTTCCGCATCAGCAGCCGCTCCTGAGGTGGGAACATCCACCGTGCGTCTCGATGCATGCCTTCAGGGGCCTCGGGGCAAATGCCTCATCCGGCCGGTCCTCCGCACATCCACAGCCCAGAGCGACAGGTTTGGAGCCCTTTCGCCGATTTTGCTCCGAACAATGTCCTCCAGGGCACCACGCTCGATGTCGATGGTCGACATCGCCAGGCCGTCCCCGTCACCAGCGCCCTGTCCCGCGGCCCTCCAGCCCACCGCAGACACTTCGTCAAAACGCCATTCGGCGGCGTCCCGGCTCGTCAGCCCTCATCCCCCTCGCGGATCTCCGCCATCTGCCTGCGCAGCCTGAACTTGGCGGCCAGCGCGCCGGCCAGCAGCCCCTCCATCTGCGCCGCGCCCTGCAGCTCCTGCATCCTCTCCTCCCCAACCGCCTCCCTCATCTCGTGGTACTCGTCGAGGGCCCCCGCCAGCGCCCGCCAGGCCATCGACTGATATCTCCTCAGGTACTCCGCCCTAGGCTCCCGGCACGCGGGGTCGGCCTCCAGGTAGGCCTGCTCCGCCGAGGCGCCAATGTATGCGACCTGCTCCACGGCGTCCGCCAGGGACTGCTTGACCAGCATCGCGGAGCGCGCGTGGTGGGGCGAGGCGCAGGCGGAGCTGCCCAGCCGCCGGAGGAGGGACGATCCCCCGGGCAAGGCGCGCAGCGCCATCGCGGGAGTCCGCGACCTGACTGGCGGATGGGTGGGCGGTGGCTTGAGCGGGAGTGTGGGCCCCTGGCCCCGCCTTGCCCGCCCGGCGGGCAGGGACTTGGGGCCCGGTGGTCGGCACGCGCGGCACGTGCGCTCCTGCCGGAAGTTGCTGACTGATTTGCTAGATGACAGTTGTCCTGGACGATGCGCCATCGACGGAGCGTTTCAGCTGGGTCACCAGGCTTCTCGTGGTTCTTGCTTTGGGTGTGTGAAGCAGTGAAAGAACCGCGGATGCGGGGTTGACTGGGTGTGGTCGTCCAGATTGGGTTGCTGGTTTGCGAAACGAAGTTGTTCTTTTCGGTGACGGTGAAAACTGTTCATTGTTTTGGCGACGGTGCCAGTCGTTTTGTGGCAGCGTTGTTCTTTCTTATGACAGTGGGCGCGACCAACGTGTGACTTGTAGGTGAGCATTCCGCCAGGGAAATGTGGGCTGGAGCAAAAGTGGCTGCCATTGCTACGACCCACTTTTCCCTGGCGGAAATTCCGCCATTCAATGGACAAGAACGAATTAGCCAGCAACGGGCCAGCCCATTTGTTGGCCAGCACCATCAAAACCCACTGAAGACACCCGCCGTCACCCATTGCCCCGGTCGAGCGACGCCGCAGGATATTCGAAAGCTTACAAAGGATGGAAGGAATCCATTCGCGAGGACAGAAAGTACAAGAACCACCCCAAAACACGAGTAGCATGCTACACACTTGCGCAGGTGCATCCACAATCCTTTTCTTTTGTCAAACCTCGGCGTTGAGTAAACTGCAACTCTCCCTCGAGCTTCTTTTGGTAGGTTTGTGCCATTGGAACTGTTCTCATTATCATGGGAAATTGGCTCCCAAAGTCCTCCAATAGCACAAAGTGAAGAACCTGCCCCACAGAGAAACACCAAATTGTCTGAGCAAGCAGGCTTGGTATTTGCGCCTTAAATACAAATCGCATTTACGCTTTTATGCCTAAGAATAGTATGTATGTTTTTACGAGTGAAAATACGTGAACAAGACATAAATACCGCCCCGTGTACATAACGATAGTACATACAGACTCGCGGAGTCCGGGAAGTGGCAGCCAGAAGTCCTGGAAGGGGGGGGGGAACGAGCTGGTGTTGCACGCCGTCGTTGCCCTTGCTGGGGGGTGAGGTGGACACTGTGTTGCGTGTGCTGGAGATGGCCCACTGATCACTGTACGCGACTTCTGCATGACATTATCATTGTGTAACCTGGGTGTCCCAACGAGCCACAAAAACGTATCAATAGCCGTGAAAATACCCCCTTCTGCAAATTCACGTTTTTGCACGTAAAACTGTTAAGGCAAAAAAATATAAACGTAAACGTAAACGTAAATGCCAATCCTATGAGCAGGTGAATAGCACCGGCAAGCAGGTTGCGTTTCAGTGGGCTATACATTGTGAAGGATTTGACGAAGGCAGCTTACTAGTCGGGCTTCAGGATGGCCAGGTTACAGGCTGTGCTAAATCGGCGTTGCATTGCACAAAGCCACCACAACATGATCCTGTGTGCTGCCGCGGAGTTGCTCATTTCACAGCAGAATCGTTATCTATATCCATCGTAAGCTGGTAACAGTAAAATGTGAGATAGCTTTGCTACTGCTCGTCGTAAATTTATTCCCCAGGCTTGAATTTGGTACCGAAGTTTGCAAGATGTATCTCGAAAATGACGTAATCTCACACCAGTGTCTCTGCTCGAAAGGAATGCTCATATTCCTGATTGTCTTGCAGTGCACGACGAGTTTCTGAGCTGAGATTGTGCTGCGAGCGCGTCAGGAGCACCTGATTCATCGCCTTAAAAGAAAGTCGTTGCTCCTACACAGACCCCGGCTGGCTGGGGCCCGATAAATCGCATATACAGAGATTACGTGCGCCGGGAGGTCACATCCCAAGTCACGCTTAAGCGTGACGCCAAAGCTTTGGCAATGCCACCCTCGCAAAAAGGAACACTCTCGCAAAATGGGCAAGTCACTGTCAAAAAGTACAGTACTTTGACACTGTCGCAGAAAAGAATGGCTCGCTGTCGCCACTGCCAAAAGCAATAGCCCAGCCCCACCCCACACCCCTCCCACGCCTCCTACCCCACTTAGGCCCCAAAGTGCCGAGGGATTTCCCTCTCACCGCCAAGCCTGCACACAAGACCGTTGAACGATCATCCGCGAATAATCCGCTCGAGCACCGGGGACAGGCACGCCGCAGATTCTGGCGCACCGCGCCTGTCACAGGACTGGCCCGGCCGGGCCCAGGGCGCGACTCTGGTCAAAGCCCGGTCAAACGCGCGGCCGTCTCCCCGGCCTACCCCGCCCTTTCCCCCCACCCCCGGCCCTCCCCACTTCCCTCCCTTCGTCTCGGCAAGCCTCGCTTTGCCCAGCTTGCCTTCTGGCGACGCCCGCCCCCTTGAGAGGTTCCAGCCATGGGGCCTCCGCGAATAGTGATCGAGAAGGCGAACCCCGGGGCGAGGAAGAGGCTGCTGGCCTCGACGTCGTCAGGCGAGGAGACGCGCGTGGACGTAGCCGAGGGGAGCAGGTGATCGCCTTCGGCGCGCCGGGGGCCGGGCGCCTAACGCACGACCGCGGGCGGATGATCGGCCTGTTGGAGGTCGCGGCCATCGCGGGCCGATCTCGGCCATTCCCGCGGAGATTGCCGCCGCGACGCGCGCAGATGGATGTCGGGCACTGTGCGGCGCCCGCGCAAAAACGGGGGTTGATGAACACACGATACTGATGGGGTTGGGGGGAGCCTTGCGCCACAGTTCCTGTGCCACGACACCCGCGACAGTTCCTGTGTCCCGCTGCGTCAGCCGTGCGGTGGGCGGGGGCTGTGGTGTTCGGTGGTATGACGCTCAGGCTCAGTGCCCGCGCGATGGCAGGGGTCGGTGAACACCGCGGAGGGGGTCGGGGTGAGGGCGAAACCGGGAGTGCTGCGCCCTGTGACAGCTCCTCCGTCGTTTCGCTAAGTCGTGGGCTTTGGGCGATGTGCGTGGGGTTGCGGTGTTCCATGGTTTGACGCTCAGACTGGGCGCTGTTGTGGATGTAGAACAGCGGAGCGGTCCAGCCGCGGGCGGGAGATGGGCGTGATCGACACCGATGCTTTCATTGGAGGGCAGGGAGGGACTGGAGCAGGGAAGGAGGGTACGGTGCCCGTGTCAGGAAGCACCATGCAGCACGCCGTTTGATGTTTCACAGAGAGGCGCAGGAGACCGTTCGTGGATGAGCCAGCTCTGGGATGCCTTAGGACGGGCCATGCCTTCGCACTTCACTATGTTGAGAATTCAAGTCAATTCGATTCAAGAGACAACGGAGATTGGCACCCAGTCCCGAGTAGTTACTAGCGGTGACCTTGCTGAATATACAGAAAGGCGCCAGGCCCAAAGCTTAGAACGTTTGTTTTGGTGCTTGAAATGGAGCCGATTGCAGCATGCGTCCGAATTGACCGGCCGAAAATGTGGGCAGCATGTTCCAGTGCTTCGTTCGTAGCATGTGTGCTGCAAATACACCAGACGTGGCAGATCCTGTCTGCATATATCTCCCGCTGTCTGTGAGGGTCTCCACCCAATCTCCACAGCTAACCATCATCATGAATCAGGTGCTCCACGCCCTGCGTGTGTTGGCAGCATCCAGCAATCCACTGCGTCAGGACATGGGGCCTCCTGTCCAGAAACATGGCGGCGTACAGGTCGCCTGTGCAGCGATGATGAACGGTGGAATCATGAGTCGTTGGACTAGGCAACATTGGCCCAATGCGCAAAGTCAAGGTGGAACGTTTTGTTTCCGTTCCGGCACGATGTACATTCACGATGCCCAATTTCAGCACTGAGCACGGCACGTGCAGAAATCGCAATTTCAATATCGTAGTATCGCATCGTGAGATGTTCATTTGAAATTTAAATTCATTGCAGTGTCGTGCGCACCACCAGCAGCTGGCGTCAGTGATTCGACCAAAGGACCAAGCGGTCCATGTGAAGCCGAGCCCAGGCGGAGCCTTTTTCGAATCAACAGCTCCCCGTTATCGAATGGTTCTTCGGCTTCGTTTGGGAACGTGAGTACTTCCTCGTAACGACCAACCTGTGAGCGCACCTCAGTGGAACCCAATTTCGGTGCGGCCGCTACCGACCAACGACCATGTCTTTTTGTACCCGATCATTTTGGTTCGCTCACGTCCCCATGCTATCCATGCAATGCGTCTGCGCCCCGTCCCCCGAGCTGTGGCTGCCATTGCGTCAACCCCTCGCGTCCATTTGGAGAGCCATTGCCGCACCGCAGCGCTGCAGCACCAGTCCAACACCAGTAGAAAACGGCACTTTTGCAATGCCAACTGCGACCCCATTCGACAACAGATGATGCCGCCGCAGCTGCTTTTATGCTGCCACTGCCGTAGCATCACTTGGTGTCAAAATGGCGTCCCAGGTAACATCACAAACCAGAGTTTTCTGTTAATGCAAGTGCCAAGCATGAAAGTAAGACCGAGACATGTCGCGCTGCCCCAGAGAAAAGTTTCCCTCACCTGCTGCTTCCTATGGAACGCAGAGGAGCTTCGCGACTAAGGAGATCGCTTTCACCCCCAAGTCATCCATTCCTGCCAGCCAGCTGGACTTTCCCTGGCGCCAGGGAAAGTCTGCAATCCAACGTGGCATGCTTCCCCAAACGTCTCCGATTTGTTTTCGTTGAATTCTTTGCTATGCTGCCCATCTCCCAGGATGGGCTGTACAACATGAAGCTCTGCCTCGACGGCTGCAGCCGCGTGGGTGGAACCTAATAAAGCGGCAGTGGCAACCTCCGCTCAAGTTTCTCCAATTCCCGACATCATTTCCAGCTCATTTGTTCTGGATTCTTGCTGATGGCGCCCTTCTCTTGCCTGCGGGGGAAACAAGCTCTTGAGTGCATGTGCTATTTCGGTTATTGCAACAAAAAAGTAACAGAAAACTGAAATTGCGTTAACTGCACTGCCCAACTTAACGCAACAATGGACAATTTCCAACACTTGATTATAGCTGCAGCGACACTTCCTTACAGGCAACGTGAAAATTCAACACATCGGTCATGTCACGACGTGACAGTGAAATGTCTCTGATGAACTCAGATATTTTGACAGCAGACCCTTCCTAGGGATCTAGATTGACCTCACAATGATCGGCGAAGAAACCCGCCCCCACAG